CAATGACGTCACATCCACCATGTAAAGACAGCCAATCAAAGACACCCATGTGATCATCCCCGTCATGCTCTAAGAGATGATTGTACCACATGACCGCTTTGCCTTTCTTTGGTTGGATCAGTAGGTTAGCTTCGCGGCATCTTTCATTGAGGGTTACGGAATAGTTTCTCGAGTAGAAACGTTCAGGATCATCCGCCAAGGGGAATGCCGTTTCGCCGCCTTTCGCCACGTTGTTTAAGTAAAGGAGAATGGTAACGAACCTGGAAAATTAATTAAGAGGGACTTAATTAACACAATAAACTATGTACCCATAAGCCAAAAATAGACATTGATATATTTAAAAATCTACAGCAGTTGAGGGCTTATTACGAACCCCTACTGCTACAGAGATCCCGTAAAACATGGATAGGGGAAGACTAAGGAGAGCGAGCCTTAGTGCCAGGTTTTTGCCGGCCCTTTTTCTCTGCGTTTTCTTTTTCTCGTGTCTCCACTCCGGGGGTAAAATACTAGTGCAATTAAGACCAAAGTATGTCGTGAAGAACCAAGCTTGGGGATAGGGCTTTATTATAAGCGTTGCAGGCGGCGCGTTTTCCCCCGCTGGAAGATTTAGAGACGAGTCGGGGAAAGGTTTGTCGGGAGCCTGGCTCTAAGACTTGTCAGTGCTAGACCCGGTTCCAGACCTCTCACCGATTCGCTCAAGACCTCCGAATATTTTCTTGCGGGCGAAGAAACACTCGTGCTGAAGCGTTAATAATGAAGGCCTGCCGGCGCGTAATAACGAACCTAGCAAAAACAAACCTGCACAAGTTGCAATCTTGAAAATCTTGTCCTTCACGGCAGCATTCCTTTATCCTGGCAGAATCGTGCGTTGTGTCGTAGTGAGCATTGTAATGGCCCAACACAGAGTAACGTACCACCTGAACATAAACAAAGCAATTTTCATCATCAGATGATCAAGAAGTTTTTTTCTTATGCCACTAAGGGACGATATGCCTTCACCAATATCACCGGCCAAAAAAAATGCATTCTAATCTATCAGAAGCGGAGCTTACATCTATCGGGATTTCGGTCGCGTATGTTGTCAGGCACTCTTCCAAAAACGGGGTTAATTGTCTCTACGTGGGTGTACCTGGCAACGAAATCATTACGTGATAGTCCTTATCTACTTAAGGAGACAATGAGGTCTTTTCGCTTCCTTGAGAGTGATCCCTTATCAAAGGTCTTTATATTTTTATAAGAAAACTTGCCTGAATTTCTTCACTTTTTTCTATTAAAGTTCTTGACAGGCCCGTGAGCTTAGCGATCCTTCTCTGTAGCAATCTCACAACGGGCGTGTCTTGAGAAAGCACTGCAGATTCACTAAAGCGAATGAAATACCGAGGATCAGATTTGAGTTTCTCGACATGAAAAAGGAACTCAACGTAGGTAGCATTTGTGACGTCTGCGCACTCCTTGTCATCAACAAATCCGTCTGAGTTGAAATCAAATAAAGTAAATATCGGCAATGCATCTTCCTTTGTCGGATAAACATATTTCTCTAGATCCACAAATCTTATAAATTCTTGTAGGGTTATTTTTCCGTCCCGATCAGTGTCATAGACAGGTCGTTGGAGTTTCCAGCAGAACAGAGTTTTTTCGAGGGTCAAATTCTTTGAGGCCAGCTTCTTCAAGAATTCCTCTTTACCAATTCCTTCTCCTTTTCCCTTGATTGTTAAGCTGTCCTGAAGGTGACTTTGTTGGGATAACTGAATGAGCAGATCGCATTCCTTGTGGCTCAGAAATTCGTTTATCTCGAATAACAATGGCTGAAAACTGCGGGTCACAACTCGATGTGATTTATTCTCCTCGAGTTTCATTTCCCGAATGTGGCCGATTTTTACGCCATTGAGCCTCACCAAGCGGAAAAATGCATCATGGGCCCGGTCTTCATTCTTTGTTGGGCAAATCTTAGGTTTGAGAAAATCATTTGCACAAGTTTGGGACCCATCTTGAGTTGTATTCCATCTTGATCTTCCCGTCTCAGCGCTCAGAGATTTTATGAAGTAAATTTGGTACACCAGAAGCAGTGCCAAAAACGTTAAGTTTACTCGAGGATCGAAGAGACAGAAGGACATGTCTTAATTTCACAGGCAGATGGTTAGAAAACCAATCTATCGGTCCCTAGTTGTAACGCAAGTCTCCCCATCAAAGCGACCGGCCTTATGTTGAACTATTAAGACGTACACGTGGAAGCGCGCGTGAAAAACATCGCCCACGTGCCGGTATATGTAGGATCCTTCTAATTTAAACTCTTCCATGCCTATCTTAAATCATGCATAACACTGAGACTTGGCCAGATTATCCTAAAATAATAAAACAGGAATGCCGCAAGGAACTGCGCTCAAGCAATTCAATTAGATTAGTGGTCTTGACCGAAAACAGCACTTTCCAAGATAACGCGTCCAAGCTATTTAACAATTTACCAGACTTTCAAGGAATTTTTTATGTAATAGAGTACAAAGTGATTAGTTAGTTTTACTGTAATTTCTATTCTGTTAATCCTAATTCTACTTTTAATTGCATATTGCGTAATTTGTGAAATAACTTAATTTGATTTTTTTAAAAATTATTTTAATTGTAATTGATGTATTTTAACAGGGAAGAGCCACCTGGTGGATCTGTTAATAAACTATTATTATTATTCTGCAGTTACTCGTGGATGTGTATATGCGATAACTGGTCGGATGGAAATAAAAGTGACTAGCTCAGAGATTTTCAAGAGAAAAAAGCAAAACAAAACAAAACAAAAAAAACACTAGACTGTGAAATGATGGATGTAAGCTCCTTCTTTGTCCTTATCCCCTTAATTCCCGTGAGTGATCAAGATAGATTTTCTCCCTACTTTATCAATACAATTTCAAGCAGACAGGTGATGAGAATAAAGAAAAATATCAATTGTGGGATTATTGGTTGATCAAGCACCAAATTCTCCAAACCAACATCATGACAATTGTATGGCAAACAGTAAGAAAAATTACTAATTTGATCTTGGGAGTGAAAGGATTAGCATAATGAATTACCCCCGTAATTGCATGCAACACAGTAATTGATACAAATGCAAAATTTTTTTTGATGCATGAAATGTTTGTAGTAAAGAGTAACATTGGTTTAAATTAGCATTAAATCTAAATTGTCGCGTCCGAAAACTAACAGAACAGCGTTCACAATTAATTGGACAGAACTGTCCCAACAACGAAGCGTCTGAGGTTAGACGGAATAGAGAAAAAAAGCAAAAACAAAAAACAAAAACAAAAAAAAACGGGGGAAGGGGATCTAGAACTGGACGGAACTGTCCGAAATCAGATGGTGGCGATCAAAATTGGACGGTAGCGTCCAAAACCGGACGGAAAGTTGGTTTATTGAAATAATGCTAAGGGGCGGACCATTATTTTTCTGGAGGGGAGTATGAGAAATATTGAAAAAATTGTTTGTTGGGTCTGAAAAGACAAAATAATTTGTTTGCAAATGTGATAGGGTAAAAATAAATGTTTGCAGTGAAGTCAGGTAAGATATTAAAAAATACTATTACCAAAACTGAAATAAAAAAATTAAGCAACAAATTGAAGCATTAGTATAAAAATTAACACAATTTGGGCACTTAAAAGTGGTCACTCTCTATTAAGCAAATAACAAATCTGAAAATAGCTGAATGCTTCTTGAAAAATGGGAATTTAATGTGGCAATTAAAAAATGGAAAAATTGTTTGCACGAAGATGATATTGGAAAAAAATGTTTGCGGAGACGTATATGTTTAATAAATGTTTGCAAAATAAAATTTCTCATACCCAGAAAAATAATGGTCCGTCCCTAAAGCCTGTTTTTAAGATGGTTTACTAGTTCTATTTATGCATGGTGCTCGTTTATCAGACGTTCTAAGTCTTCAAAGAGCTATTGCAGTCCCCTTCAGAAAAATAATGGTCCGTCCCTAAAGCCTGTTTTTAAGATGGTTTGCTAGTGCTATTTGTGCGTGGTGCTCGTTTATCAGACGTTCTAAGTCTTCATAGAGCTATTGCAGTAGAGCAGCATAAAAAACTAGACATTCGTGTTCCTCAACTGGACGTATGTAAGTGGTGTAGCAACTTAGAAGGTCCTTTCATGTCGGTAACTTCGCGCGCCTCAGTCTCCTTGAAAAATAACAACACGATGCAAATTTCTTACACATTATTCCACATACGTGTTCAATTTCAGAATCTTTGGATATACCCAATGGCCCAACAAAAAATGTAATAGAATTGTTAATGATAAGCTCCCAAATTATTCTCCGGCCTGGAAAATGTCATTCTATGTTCCTTGCAGTTCGTTCCTTTCAACCAATTCCATCAGCTGAAGACTTATCACAACTGCACTAAGCAGCTTCCGTTCTTAACCAAAACTCAGCGCTTGCTGTACATTTTTTTTGCGCTCCACCCTCCCCCCCCCCCCCCCCAGCGTTTGACACGCTTCGCGTTCGCCTCGTACTCCCCTCTGTCCGCCTGAAAAACGCAAAAAAATAAAAAAATAAATAAATAAATGGATAAATGAAATGAAAAACGAACTACGTCTGTTCTGCAGGCTAATTTGGACAGGTGGTTTTGCTCTGTTTCTCAAGAACCGACCCAGACGATAAGATAAGAGTGCTGCACTAGTACTGCGCGGGAAATCAGCAGGGAGCGAGTGGATGGAAACAGTGCATGAGCGATAAGACAGCCTCAATGACGATATGCATCTGTTGTCGCGATCAGGGAAGCAGCGCTTGGGTTGCACGCACTAAACTTTTTCGCTTCCCTCCACCACTCACATAGTTAAAATTTAATTTTCCCTCCCATTTCTTCAATCATTTCTCTTAAAAAAAAAGAATAACCAAAAAGCAAAACAAAACAAAAAAAACAAACAAAAAAAAAAACCAAAAACAGAAAACAGAGAGTAGATTGGGGCGAGAAGAAAAAGAGGGAGCGTCGTAGGAGTGTTGTAGGCATGTCTCGACCCAACCCCCGTCTGGTTTCCGTCTGCTCACTCTTCATAGGACTCGTTGTTGGGAAAGGCACAGAGAAGTTATCCTGCTCTGGAAAGTGAAGGAAATCCGGTAAAACCTCAATATCTTTATCTTAACTAAGAGATATATTTTTTTATATTCTGGTCAAACTATTCAAGGATCGAACAAAGGTTAGTGAAGTCAGAGGCGAATTTCGTAATCTCTGAAATCATAATTCCAATCCTCGTGTTTACCGAAATTCGAATTTGCGAAGTAATCTTTGAGTTGGACTGCAATATTTCTCAAATGATCATTCGAACTTGGCCTACACGAGAAGATCAATTGAACTTGAGATAAAGAAAAGCAAGTTCAAAGATAAACGGATTCTTGCGAATGAATAACGCAGGGTAATTAATCTCGATTTTTTTTAATGCAAGTTTCTTCTTATAAAACAAGATATGACTTTTATTTCGAGATCTCAAGTTAACATGCAAGATCAGCACTTAAAATGCAATATTTCCTCCAAGAACACAACCTCTTGACTTAAAACGCGAGATCACGGCTAACACCACGAAATCTCCATTAATATTCTGATCAGCGCTTATGTGTCGAAATCTTTTGTAGTCAATAGGAATATCGTGTGCTTAGCCTATATCTTGCGTTACCACAACCCCTTCTTAAGCAATCTTATATCTATTCAGTTTTTTCACTCTGAACCTTTACTGCAAGTCTATTAAATCAGAGAATTCATATCGGTAATAACACTTACAGGAAACGTGATTCTCTGTCACTCGCATATTCAACTTTACAACGCAAACTGATGATATTTCCAAAGCGTCAATTAAACGTGACGAGCTGAAATCGTGATGTGGACTGTCCCGAGGGAACGCACCCGTCTGAACGAGATTGATCTGACCGGCTGTACAAAGAACCTTTGCAGACTACAGTTTTCCGTAACAACTTGTAATGAGGTAAATTTCATCGACATGCGGATGAAATTGAGTCAAAGAAATTATTATCCTTGTAGGTGGACTGCGATAACCGCTTAGCAACTGCAGAAAAGACGCTTGAAAAATTTCAAGCTTTGACGGGATTCGAACCCGGGCCTCCTAGTTAACAAATAGAGAAGCCTTGACTGTGCTCTGTTCTGTTGTAAAGCACACAGAAAGCAGCTAAAGCGCGATGAAAGTGTGGGGAGAAACACAAACCGCCGGAGTCGAGTGTTCCTCCTCACTTCTGCGTGCTCTAGCCGCTCCCTAGGAGTTTTACAACCGAACAGAGCACAGTCATCAAGGCTTCTCTATTTGCATCATACTAAAGAATCCGTTAAATTCCCGACGCATTACTTTCAATTTTCAAAACAATATTTATTTCCAAAGCGAACAACAGTGTCGTCAACATGCTCTAATAAAGAAATAAAAACCGCGCCGAGTGCATTGTTGATTCCTATAAGCACGCGGTAATTTTTAAGAACACGAGAGAAGTACGGTGTTCTTAAAAATTCTTAAGTGCTTATAGAACTCAACGCTCGAGGAACAAGATTTTCATTTCCTTTATAAAATGTATTGTGAAATGCGCGCGCTCGTACCGATGACTCTATGGAAATAGAATGAACTCGTTCTGATCAATCACGGCACGCGCATTTCTCTGACATTATGAACTCTCATAAGGCACGCTAAAATAAGCCAATCAGAATTCTTGTTAGAATGGTTGCACAAGACTAAAGCTGTTAAAAATTTCAAAGCATCAAAGTTCACAAACCATCAAAGGTCACGATCTGCAACATTTCACAAATTGAAAGAATTCGGCAGGTCGAAATTAACACGTTTGCCTGAAGTTTTCGTAGTTTCAAATACAGAATCTGAAAGTGAAATGTTCAGTAAAATCCGGCCGAATTGTGGCTCATAAAAACGCGCAAGTTTTTTCCCATGACACTAAGAAAACAAACTGCACAAGGCTTGTGTGTTAAGAATGAACGACAGCCGAATTCACAAGAACATGAAGATTGCTTGCAATGACAACGCTGTAATACTCCTCTGCTGTGACCGATGTGGCCTTCAACTCATCGCATCGGAAAGGATATCAGAGCATGCTTTTACTTGTTCACTCGAAGGGCGGCCGATGTAATTTCTGAGGCTTTCTTCACTGCAATATCCAACGATCGCGATGATGAGCTAGCTGCGATGGACCCCTGCATGATCGAAGTCGCTCTGACACAATCGTGATTAGTATGAATTGTAACGATTATACCAGTTTGGCTATGTTTTTCATCATTCCTGTTATGTTCCATTTTGTTTTTGAACACGAAACTATATATACTATGCGAGTGTTCGCTGTGTTTGATTTGTATTACCGTACGTAAGCTTACAATCTAACTGAGCGTGAAAACCTTCAAAACTCGGACTGTATTTCGTTTTCTCTCTGAGGATTTTCGTCTCTGCTCACTTTATAATAACGTAAATTACGGCGCTTGGTATGTTTATAAATCTTTGTCTACTTTTTCTGTTGCTACTTGCCGGCTCGCTTGTTTCGAAATTACAATTTAAAGTAACGAAGAAAAGCTAGAGAGAGGTTCCGGAAAAGGTTAGACATTGTACAATGTGGCAGATGGTGTAACAGCTTTAGCTCAGCTCTTTGGTTTGTACTCTGATAGAGAGCACGCTCTTTCAACCAACGATAGCGCACTTTTTTTCCGTACTTTATTCTAAGAGCTTCTATATGTCGAAATATTTTGTTCAAAGCAAGGATCTAGTGAACAAAGCCCAAATCTTATGTTATCACAACCCCTACTTTGCCAATCTGGTATCTGTTCAGTTTTTTCAATCTAGTTTGGTCTGAAAAGTTGCTTTAAACCTATACTAAAAGTCAGTTAAAATAACATTCACAGGAAACGTGATTCTTTACCTCTTAAATAGTCAACTTCAGAACGCAAACAGATGATATTTCCAAAGCGTCAATTAAACGTGACGAGCCGAAATCCTGACCTCGATCATTTCAAGGGAACGCACCTTTAGAAACAGGACATTTCTGGCTAAACAAGTTTGATCCCATTAGCTGTAAAAAAACCTTTGCAGACAACAGCTTTCCACAACATATGATGAAATAAATTTCATTGACCTGCGGATGAAAATCAGCATATTGCTATTAACATACAGTCATGCAAAACGATTCCTGATAACATTATCCCACATAAAATATACAACACTGCACCAAGATACAACACTGTAGAGCAATAAATAGATAATATCTATGGTACTCAACACACAGGTCTATAACAGAAATCTAACCAAAGGCAGAAAAATAAAGAAGAAACTACACATGGGAAAGGAAACTAGTTTACAGCCAGTAATTCCACAGAGCCACGTTTCAGTTCCTGGATATGGTTGTGCTGAGTTTCGCTGCATTCCTCAGAAAGTTTCTTCAGCTGATGAATCTCACCCCATCAAGTTAAAAACAATGAATTCCAGACTTTATTTCACACACCCTGTGAGTATACAATTTGAATCATTCACAGGAAATATGGCCACCAGTCATTTTATACCCACAGATGTTTTGCACACAGTCAAATCCTACCTAAATTCAGACAAATTGTACCCAGTTTATGTCAGTTTGTACCCAACCTCCTGGTCTGTTTGTTCCTGTCTCAACATCCCTCACTTTTCTTGTATTTCCAGGAATCTGGCTTTTCAGAAATCCCCACAAAGACAGAATTGAGGTTCAAGACAAACAAATGTATCCCAAATTTAATACCATAATCGATGTTCACTATTTAGTTTTCTGACACTTGCATTTCTTCTTTGAAAGACAATTATATTATATAAACAGTTCTAGTATTTACAGTTTGCTAAGTTTGCAATACAAGTACAGCCAGAACATGACCTTTGTAACTAGCCTCACCAATAATGTTGTTTTCATAGTTGAAGTTGTTAGTGACACGTCAGTTCAGTCCTCATTGTTTGGCACAGTCAGACTGTCAGTGGCTTTACAAAGTGCAAAGTGGAGGAAGCCATACAAGTCTCAATATTGATGTAGGAGAAAACTGCAAGGTTGTGTTCACGACACAAGAATACCCAAAGGTGGGCAGAAACAAAGCTGTTACCCTTCTGAAACAAAAAAAATTAATATCTATTAAACTGCAGCTTAGCTTAGAAACCTAAACTCACTTCAGACCAAAATAAGTGATTTTTTGAGCCCTAATTCAGATATCGAATTGAAGTTAAAACAGTTATTGAAGTCTGTAAGGGAGATGTGGTATGGTTTAGTATGAGGCCAAGAGAGAATTTAGGGGGATAGTTCTTCTGCTCAGGCTGTTGAAACTTCAGTCATCAATAAGACAACAGTCCTTCTCATGACTATCCTCACCTGAACCATCAGACTACTCAATCAAATGTTACTCCCAGTTTAAACTGTTTACTAGAAGTTTCTATAAACTTTCCCTTACGTGCCAAAAAGGGGATCCAATTCCCCCCTAGAAACTCACCTCATTTGGCTCTTCCCTTGAATAACCTTCCCCCTTGAAAAGAACAGCTATTTTAAACAAAAGGTGCTGATGTAAAATCTTCTTGAATATCTTGAAAGAGAAGCTAAGGGGTATGATACAACTGAATCCCCTACTTCTATTGGTCCAAGGGTTAGTAAGGAGTTTCAAAACTGACATTTTGAGAATTAGCCCCTCATCATTCTCTCTGACAAAGGACTAACCCTTGAAACATCAGCTTTGAAACTCTTTACAGCGGCCAAGTTACATATGAACTCAATTGATAATACTAAATTACCCTGTTATACTCTATCACCTATGCAGTACTTCAGTTTCTTTAGAAACTTACCCCCTCTATTCAAGGATTAGTACAGCTTAGCTAATTTAAAAAACTTTACCAACTTTATCACTCTCTTTAGATTTTAGCATCAGATGATGATTCCATTGGTGAACAACATCTCAAAGTACATGTGGCTGATGGTGCAATCTTAGCAGTGTTACCTGATCCTATCATTTGCTACAAGAATGCCAAGTTCCAGCAAGAACAGGTAAAAAGTAGAGGTGTTGCAAAATGGTCACCTGCATCTGCATTTGTGAATGATGCTGCATATCAGCTAGCATTGATCCATCATAATTCACTTTGGATTTATGCCTTAGGATTTGTTGCTGTAACATAGGTTATTGTGACTGAGTCATCCCACTATTGTCTTTAAATATCTGCTATAATTTGTGCTGATAAATGGAGAGGGGTCTAGCAAAGGAGTGGGAGTTAAATTGCTTACAATTTCCTCTTCACCTCATCGCACCTTTAAGAGACACAGTGACCAAATGATTAGTGCACTAGACTCCGGGTTGAAAGGTCTGGGTTCAAGACCTGGTCGGGTCATTGTGTTGTGTTCTTGGACAAACATCTTACTCTCACAGAGTCTCCTTCCACCCAGGAGTATAAATGGGTAAGGCAAATTGTCAGGGAAGCCTGATGAAATGATGAGTGGTAACCTTGCATAGGACTAGCATCCCATCCAGGGAGGATTAGTTTTACTCCTGGTCACTTCATGCTATGGAAACTGGAATAACTGAGGCTGGATGGGTCACTTGGCTCAAGTACAGACTTAATGTCCTTTTTTTTTCACAGCACATGTAGGGTCTCTATGAAACAAAAAGACAAGAACTTCTACATGGTTGCTCAGTTAAGGATTTAAGCTATAATACTTAATACACATCTTTACGTTAATCTCTCTTTACAGGTTTTCCATCTGACTTCAAATGCGAACCTTATCTTGCTAGACTGGCTAATTGCTGGACGTATTGCTCTGGGAGAAGTTTGGGAAATGATCAGGTTAGTATGTATTGTTTGGAATTGTAGGCTAATTAATAAATAGATTTCCTGTTGCTATGGGTCTGTTCAGACTGTAACAGATCATGGATGATGTCAAAATGTGATAAGAACAAAAAAGTGGCATGTGAGGTGCAGCCAAGTATGTCATTGATGTCACTGTGTGTCACTGATGCCACCCTGTCATGATGTCACTGTCATTGACGTCACTGTGGATCACTGATGTCACTGTCATTGACGCCACTGTGGATCACTGATGTCACCAATGCCTCCATGTCATTGATGTCACTATGTCACTGTGGATCACTGATGTCACTGTGTCATTGATGTCACTGTGTGTCACTGATGTCACTGTATCACTGATGTCACTATGTCAGCTGCACCTTATAAATCACTTTTTTGTTCATATCATATTTTGATGTCATCTGTAATCTATCTCTCTGATGAAGGGTTAACACTTGAAACATCAGCTTTGAAACTCTTTACATGGCCAATTTATGTTATCAACTCAGTTGATGATCCTAAATTACCCTATTATACTCTCCCACTGACACAGCACCACAGTTTCTTTAGAAACGTACCCCCTCTATTACTGAACAGTTGCACAGCTACATGCAATCGATTTGTTACGTGTAACATGGAAATGAAACAATTTTTTCCCTTTATCTAATGATCCTCACTCATCATTTACATTCTTGTTGCCAATGCAGTTTTGCAAGTGAAAGCAAGGTTTATGTGGATGGAAAGCTTGTACATGGAGATGCTATTAGGCTTGATCGTGATCTTGTAAATGTGAAGGATAACATGTGTTCTCTGCAAAAAGCTTTAGAATATACTAAGGTAGGGATCGATGATAGTTAAAATTTTCAGTGGCAATCCAACCTAACTTTTAAAAGCAATATGACGGAATTTGCAAAAGAGGCTCCTTAAAAGGGTTGTTACCCATGCAAAAGAAAGTTGTGATCACACATGGGAAGCACATGTGTGATTTCAACTTTATAGGAAATATGATTCACATTTTAAATCAGACTTTTTCTAAGAGTGTGATCAGAAGCTTTATTGATAATGTGGTTTAGAAGTGTGAATCACACCAAAAATTTCTTTCTAGGTGTGATCACATTTTAAATCACACTTTTTCACACTTCTAATCTTTGAATCACACACCAAAAAAATTAAAGTGTGATCACACTTTTTTTTAATGAACAAGTTTTGGTTGTGTCCGACTAAACCATGCATGCTAAATTTCAGCTGAAACTTTTTGGCATTATATAAAAACACTCACTGCATAAGTTTGAATAGAAAACGACAGGAAAAATTAATTTACTGTGATAGATTGATGACAATACTCTCCTTTAATGTTTAGGCGCTTGGATCTTGTGTATTCATTGGACCTCAGTTTAGAGAGCTTAAGTGGAAAATTCAAGAGAAAGTTAAAAGCTTATCAGGTATATGGTACACTGTATATACCTGTCAGTGTGTATCTACGAATAACAGCCAGTAAAAATATGGTTGAACATTTGTATGAGGATGTTGTCTCTTCTGTGGAGCAAACAGGTTTTCTTGGGCAATTGAAACCCAATTAATGCTTAATAATTTAAAATTGACACTGATTGAAGACTCTGCAGGTTCACTCAGGGACGGCGCAGCAAGTTCTTGAGTAGGGGGGCTATTTTTGGCTCCTTTATTTTTGTTAAATTAATTTTTTGCTTAATTTATTTTTATTTTTGCAAAAAAGTGGTGGGGGGGTGGGGGCTAAAGCCCTTCAGCCCCCTCCTCTGCATGGTCCCTGTCATTGGGTGATACCCTCCAGTTTAAGCTAAGGCATATTAAATCATGTGATCATCTTAGACCAACTGGATGTTAGCAAAAATAACTGATGGATTTTAAAGATAGAATAACAATACCTCAGAGCTAAGAAATTTGTGGTATGCTACATAATAGCTTGCATTGGCTTTAAAAAAATTATGAAGAGAAAAAAAACCAAACAAAAAGGAAGAAAAAGGAGAAGAAGAAAACACCCTGTCAAACAGGAACTCCCCACATCAGATTTCAAGCTGTCTAGAATTAATATTTTTTCATCGTCCCTCCGATGTGTGTTCTCTAGATCCAAGTGATGGTTTCACTGTTTCCGCAAGTGTTTTAAACCAACCACTATGTGATGGAGTAGTGATAAAGCTACTTGCGGCACAGAGCACAGAACAGGTATGCATTGCCTCTTTAAATTTTTACTTTATAAACCTAAACAAAAAATTTTTGAGCTTGTGTTGGTCGTAGGGGAGAAAGATTTCCGGATAATCACATACTAGTCTAAAACGAAGCCATAGTCCCTAAGGCAATCTGTTGTTTTTGCCATTGTTCTTTTTATCCAAGAACTGTACGCATAATGAAGTATGGGGCTGTGTGGAAATCATACTCGGTAAAGCATTCATGTGACTTACGTTATGCTTACACTCTTACACAAAAAATTCGAGGAGGTGTTGTGTATGCTGAGTCAATTTCAAAATTAAATTTTACTGTCATTTTACCTTTTTTGTAGGCTCGCTCCTTTTTCAGAAGCGTGATTGAATACACAAGGGAGTGGCTTGGGAGTAATCCTTTGGAAAAATAGACGGGAGAGAACACAACCCCATATTTGATACCTCGAACGAAGAAAGTAAGGGCGTGGCACATCGGGGAAAGAGACCAAATCTTCCAAGATGGCCTCGTTGTCATGAAGGGGATGCATGGAACCGAAGTAGCCAGTGAGAGTGAAGATTACCTAACAGTTGAATCCTTTAAAATGAAGAATGTTATGCAGGCTCTGCATTCGCTGATTAACATGTGCACCAACAGTCTATTAACACATAAAGGCAGTACACATTTCACTGAAAGTACCATAACCATCGCCGGATTCATCCCCAGTTCTTCGAGGCTTTTTGTATCATCTTGCGGCAGAACGTAACACGGGCTGTGATGCTGTTATGGCAAGGAACTCTTCGTAGACTCAGTGCAGATTGTGTGAAATATGACATAAGTGTCTAATTTTTAATTTATCCAAGGCTAGGCAACCGACTTCACTCTACATTATGTTCTGAAACGCTCCCCTCTGGCGTTGTGTGACATCCAAGGGAACGGCTGCGAAGGATCACGCTTAACTGTCACTTTTCGTGATATTCGTCACGAAATCCATCGTGCCCGTTCATCGCAGCTATTAGCTATGACCTCACCGATAATTTTCTCCAAACAGCCGAATATCTGGAGATAAAAATTTCCAGAGTTAAAAAACTACAATAGGAATTTAATAAAACTAAAAAAACCAAATTTATGTGTCTCAGTGTGTGTATTTCACGACTATGTACGGTCTAGACCGCAAAGTATACTGGGAATTTCTTGTTGCTTGTCCTGTTGGCCGTGTTGGAATTGTTTTTCGAATACAAGATGAGGTTAAGCCCGAAAGAATTAGAGGGTCTTCTGATACACCAAACTGGGTTTTTGGCTCAGAAACGACTTGCACGTGGTTTAAAGCTTAATTTACCGGAAACTGTGGCTCTGATCGCTTCTCAGGTACTGAAAAACCATGTGGTTACAAGCATGTGTAAATTAATTTGTGATGCTTGAGTGGCATTGTTCCCATGCAATGCAACATGTACGGGCTTTTGGTGAGAACCCCCAAACAAAGCGTCGTGTTAGATGAAATACTGGTATGATACAGGAACACGTGCTAAAAATTTAGCTGTTGTTACATGAGCTTATAATGTGTGTCCTTCCCATTAACTGTAACTAAAGGTGCTAACATTCGATTGTTCCTTACGCAAACACAGTGAGCCCGCTTACCACGCGAACACTTTGCTTCCAAAGAGTGTGAAAAGGACATCTTTACTCTAAAAGCACCACCAAAGTCTTCCATCCACACCAGTATACTTGTTAACTTTTCTGGAGAGAGATATTTTCATAGTTTTTGCAAGAACTGCATAGATGCATACTAAAATATGGGGCTGTTTTGAAATCTTGCCAATGTTCCCCGTTCAAATGCATCTTAAGTTTCATTCAAAAGTACCCAAATTTCCAAAAAAACCATAAGTTCTGAATAATGCTTACAACTTCCTAGCCTTGCCAAATGAGCTGTGATATTGGAAATTAGCCAAGGGGATGGTCCTTAGCAGGGGTGAACATTGTTCAGCTTTGTTTATGTTTTTGTTCAAATTTTAAATTACAGCTCAATGAATTCATCCGTGATGGAAAGACTGTTGCAGAGTTGATGAACATTGGGAAGCAATTTTTAGGTCAGTTTTCCCCTATTGGTGAATTAACATCTACCCTAAAGATTACAAACTGGTCTAAATGCCAGCAACTGAGCTGACTGCCGTTGTTGTCTTGTGCCACATATGAACAGGTGGAAACTTCAGGTGGAATCTTGTCAGCACATTAGGAAGGGCATAGCAAACAGTATAGAGAATAAGCATACTGATGCTAGAGTGTGAGGGGTTAAGGCTTTTTCCTTTTTAGGTGTGAATCAAGTATTACCAGGGGTAGGGGAACTTGTTGAAGAAGTGCAAGTGGAAGGGACATTTCCTGATGGCACTAAATTGGTGAGTGATTAATATGTAACTTCTCTGCATCATCCAGCAAACTGGTGATGAGTATATTCAAACTGATCAGGTAGAAGTAATGTCACCTTGATCTTATACCAAATTTTTATAACCAATTTATATGGAAATGTGTAGCAGCTAGAGGGGAAAATTAACAATTAGATCTTGGGAGTTAAAGGGGTTAAAATATTAATAGTGGCTGACTATAGATTAAAATAAATGCTGTCTTTTTATGTTACATGTTCTTCTGAAATCATTGTTGGCCTGGAATAGACCATTGTTTCATTACACACATTGTGTAAGAAAAGTATACCATTTTACAATTCTGTCAGCCATCATATCTTATTACATCTCCCGAAACATTCAAATTCAGATCAGTGTCAACATCTGAGCAACTAAACACCCACCCCTCCCCCAACCAAACAACAGTCAACTGAGAACAAGTTAGGTTTAATGTTGGGTTAGGGGAGGGGTAGGTACTCAGTTGCTCAGATGCTGACATTGATCCTCGAATGCTTTACCCTCAGGTCACAGTTCACAGTCCAATATGCCAAGAAAATGGAGACTTGAATCTTGCTCTCTATGGAAGCTTCCTACCAGTGCCTTCAGTGGAGATATTTTCATCTGCAAGTGCTAATGTTGTGTCTATGGTTAGTGATGTCTTGAAATTCAAAGACTAACTTTTTATAATAACTGCATACTTGCCAACTGATTTTATGAATTAACTCTTGAAAGGCTCAGTTATCAAGTATCCTCTTAACTTAGTGTTAGAAATTTGTGCATAAAGTTATTGATAGTTAAAACTTCAGCCAGATGGCCCAAACTACTTTAGGCTGTCTGCATCTTTATGGCATGAAGCACCTATGAGTACTGCTACTCTCTCCAGGATGGATGCTTGTTTATAGTTGGTTACCTTGCTGTGTTTGATCTGGTTTCTCTGGTAGTTTTCCAGTGTCCCTTAACCCTTTAACTCCCAGAAGTGATTAACACATAACTTCTCCCTATAATATCCAATATAGAGCAAAAGGTAATGAGACTACTCAGACTTATCAGGTAGAAGTTGTCATCTTGATCTTACACCACATTCTCATAACTAATTCACAAGGAAATGTCTAGCAGCCAGAGGGGAGAATTAACAATCAGATCCTTAGGAGTTAAAGGGTCGACCCTTTACACTTTAACATCAGTATCCATATTCTCCATACTCTTCTCTATGCATTTCCTTTGTTACTGACAAGGAGAATTTGTTTAACAATCAAAACCTCCTATTAATAAGTTGGAAATCATTTTCTTTTTTTCTCATGATCTTGATGAATGATTGAGCAGTGTTACTCTAAGGAGAAATTAGATGCTAATCACTCTTAGTATTTAAAGTGTTAGTTAATGTACTTGCATTGCGATAGGACTTGTTTTATTAAAAAAAAAACCCAAAGAGGGATCTAAGCCTCAAGATAAATCTGGCAGTCTGATGTGATTTCCACTTGTTGTTATTTTTCAAGGGTGGTAGAAATTCACCTGGTGCCATGATTCCCTCAGTCAAAGGAGACATTTTACTCAATGCTCAGAGAAGGACGATCAAACTGAAAGTCACAAGCTTGTGTGACCGGCCTATTCAGGTATGTCTGGCAATATTTTGCTCACTTGTCAATTTAGAGGTAAATAATGAAAAACTTACAATCGCTTCTTGTGTCATATGTATAATGATTTGCTTGAGGTGTAGCAAGTACTTCATATCTTTATATGAGACACAGTTGATGCATGAATCAGTAGATTAT